TGAATCTTTCTTCACAGAGGACTCCAGTTTAATAAAGATGGCAATCAGCTGTGAGTGAATTGTGATAAAGCAATTCACTCCCACAGAGAATTTTACAATCCACGAAAACACGGGAGCTGCCCGAACTGCCCCAAGCATCAACAGGAATAATAATTAGCAAGCGGTTCTCTATCCACTGCACAGTTGGAAACAAGTCTCTATCCACTTAGCTGAAAGAAGGTACCCCTGAACTAGAAGGAAGTACCTTCTAAGTGGGCATGTATAGAATTCTGTTAGCAGACATTTCCCAAGAGAAACAGTGGACATGTTTCTTTTCTACATGGTGGCTGTGGATTATTGTTTTTCTACCAGTTATTAAAATGTAGAATAGAAAGAGCAGCAAATAAACTGATCATCTACTGAAAGGAAGAATGGCAGTATGATTACTTTATGGTTATTTTGAAAAGCTGATGAGACAGCAAACGTTAGTGAATCCTATTAAAAAGATTAAGCACACACATGCGTGCGTGCGTGCACATACACATTCTGTTTTTTAAAAAATTACACTGCTAGCATTGGGAATGGTTGATATGATTCTACAACTGAAGAGGAATGGAAATTACAGAACATCTGCAATGAAATTGGTTTTCTGTGAAAAACTGATGAATCACTTACTGCCAATGACTGGAAGGAAAAATACTTGTTTATACCCTTATGTAATGAATTTTTATGAGGTGAAGTTTGCTGTTTATAAAAAAAATACACTTTAAACTGCCAGAGATGTAAAATAATAGAATTCCAAATTCAAAGCCATGCATTACTGCAAAGACAATCACAAGCCTGCTCCCCAACACTCAAACAATTCCATTACTCTTATAATGACATTAAAGTGTTTCATCCATCGAGTTAAGTGGGGGTGGGAATGGAATGAAAAGGGGGGGGGATAAACTGCATTTCAGTTCGAAGTAGAGAGCAGATCGGCATTAATATTTTTTGAGTTCCAGAATTTTTTTTTCCTCCTGGAAAAAGACTAAGGGAGGCCAAAAGATTCATAAAGAATAAAATTATGTTCCTTAGCAACTCTTCAAAAAACAGAAATAAAAATATCGAAGAGCTTTCTGCAGCCGCAAGAATCCAGATTAAAGATGCACCTCTGCCTCATTTCTGAACACCAGTTTCACAAGGTCTTTTCACAATTGAAAAATGATGTTGAAATGCAAAGACTTTTTTTTTTCTTTTTGTAGCTGCGAAATGCTTTGTATTATTGCATCTCTAATAGTTAGAATAATTGCATTTTTTCTAAAGACAAGAGAACAACTTTAAATAGGAGTGGAAATTAACTCATGTTCTTGCTTGTGGCTAAGGTGGGGAAACTGAAGCACTGTGCCAAACTGGTTGCTAAACTAATGATTACAACAACTTAATTACCCTCAGTGTGCTTAATATCAAACCCCCATGGATTCTTGTCAGAGTGCAAACTGTAACTCTAGGCCTTGTTTGGCAATTGCTTTGGGAAAATTAACTCGCTTAGTAAGATGTGTACATAATACAGTGTGTCAAGTTATCCTCTTGAAACTACTCTGCACTGGATGACGACGATGATGGTGGTGGTGATGATGATGATGGCAGAAAACCTCTGCAAAGGTGTGTTTATTGCCAGCTTTTTTTCAATGGTCAGGGTAGAAGCAGCCAATCATTGCCCACACTGTGCTGGAATTGGACACTGTTACTTTCCTAGACAAGTGGTTCATTGCACTGGTTAGGGCAGTGTTGTCCAAACTTGGCCACTTTGAGTGGACTTCAACTCCGAGAATTCC